AAAAATAATGTCGAATTCGATATTGCACCACCCCCTCCCCACCCCATCGACTTTTTGTAACTTTTCAGATTCAATCGATACCAGGATCAACTAATATGTTTTCGGGGTAGCTAATTAAGAAAATACGGTAGAATTTGAAAAAGATATCCCAAAAACATAAAAGACCACCCTGATATCGATTACATCGGAGAAGTCACTAAAAGTCGATTGGGGGGGGAGGGAGGGCGCAATCTCAAATTCGACCGAATTTTCGTAATAAGCTACCCCGAAAACATAATAGTCGACCCTGATATCGATTATATCTGAAAAGTTACAAAAAGTCGATGGGGGTGGGGAGGGGGTGGTGCAATATCAAATTCGACAGTATTTTCATAAAAAGCGCCCCCGAAAACATAAAAGTCGACCCTGATATCGATTATATCTGAAAAGTTACAAAAAGTCGATGGGGGTGGGGAGGGGTGGTGCAATATCAAATTCGACAGTATTTTCATAAAAAGCGCCCCCGAAAACATAAAAGTCGACCCTGATATCGATTATATCTGAAAAGTTACAAAAAGTCGATGGGGGGTGGGGAGGGGGTGGTGCAATATCAAATTCGACAGTATTTTCATAAAAAGCGCCCCCGAAAACATAAAAGTCGACCCTGATATCGATTATATCTGAAAAGTTACAAAAAGTCGATGGGGGGTGGGGAGGGGGTGGTGCAATATCAAATTCGACAGTATTTTCATAAAAAGCGCCCCCGAAAACATAAAAGTCGACCCTGATATCGATTATATCTGAAAAGTTACAAAAAGTCGATGGGGGTGGGGAGGGGGTGGTGCAATATCAAATTCGACAGTATTTTCATAAAAAGCGCCCCCGAAAACATAAAAGTCGACCCTGATATCGATTATATCTGAAAAGTTACAAAAAGTCGATGGGGGGTGGGGAGGGGGTGGTGCAATATCAAATTCGACATTATTTTTATAATTAGCACCCCCGAAGACATAATATTCGACCCTGATATCGATTATTTCAGAAAAGTTACAAAAAGTTGATGTGAGAGGGTGGGGGGGGGGCGCAATCTCAAATTCGACCGTATTTTCATAAAAAGCGCCCCCGAAAACATAATAGTCGACCCTGATATGGATTAAATCCGAAAAGTTACAAAAAGTTGATGGGGGGTGGGGAGGGGGTGGCGCAATCTCAAATTCGACAGTATTTTCATAAAAAGCGCCCCCGAAAACATGGTGCATATTGGTAATTTTTTTATGTTATTTCAGAACAACGTTATTTCTGAAATATTTATTTCTTGATTTTATGCAATAATTTATTTATGAAATAAATAATCCTGAAATAATAGTTATGAAATAATTTATTTCAGAAATAATCATTTCGAAATAATTTACATTATTCCAAAGAATGTTCAAATAGTGAAATAATTATTTCAGAAATAAATTCAGAGTTATTCCATCGAGATTATTTCGTTGACTGTTTGAACGAATAACCGTTATTCCCGAAATAATTCATTCGTGGAATAACCATGTGAATTATTTCAGAAATAAATTATTTCAAGAGTGCCCAGGTCTAACATAGACATCATCGCTCATAAGTTCCAAAGTTAGTTCAATATTATCAAAATTGCTTAATATACGATAAACCAACTTTTAAAAATTCTCAGCAGAAACCGAATAAACTATTACTTTGTGAAAATTACTTTCACCCATTTCAAAAGTTGTCTGCTTAATTTTGGTGAAATAATATCAACTGTACACGATCTATAAATTTGAATATCAATTCTGACTTAAAAATGGCCCTGCACATATATAAGAAAAATGTGGGGATTTCCGTAAAAACAGTGAAATTAGATGGAGATTAATATTTATAATAATAAGTCATGGTTTGCTAATTGTCGCGAACTCCCACCTCCTTCATTCAGTAATCCAAAATTAATTGACATATTAAAAATTAAAAGAAATCAAAAGACAAAAAAAAATAAGGGGCAATTAAAAAAATGGAAAATTAAAGAGATTTAATCAAAAATATTGCTAACCCCAAAAATGGACTATTTTAGGCGATCATGTGGTGTCTCTGGCCTTTAAAAAGTTCCGAATAGCGAAATTAATGGGACAAATGTATAATATCATCTACACCATCGAAACAATGAGAATGAACTGGTTATTGGCATGTGATGATAATAAAAGAGGGACGAAGGCCTAAGCGAATTTGTGATTGGAAAGCGGTAAGAAGATGTAAGAAAGGTTGCCCGAGGAGAAGCTTGTATGAGGGCCTAAAGGAAGGAATGGTGAACAGAGGCATGCGTGAAGGAGATTGTCAGAACAGAAGAACAAGGGAACAACTTATATTTAGTGACTAATGTCATAAACGTCGTAAAATAAATAAAAATAAAATAAAATCACTAAAAAAGCTTTTATGATTAAGGTGCAAATTTAATAAAATATCCGAAAACTTTATGAGGTTATTTTAAAGTTAGATGGAGATAAAGTTCGAGAACAGGTGGTAAATTTCTAACTGAGAATAAAACGAGGACAGATGAAGTAAATGTTTTTATATCCTTCAGAAATCGACTCTGTTCGACCAGAAAAATCATTCTTGAGTAGTGACTCGGCGAAAAGAAGAAAAATTTAAAATCTCCTGGAAACTATAGAAAAAGAACTTGTTTGTTTGCTATAAGAATAGAAAGCCATGCGGAAATTGAGGATCAAGGAGAAAAAATTTGGTTGAAACAAAATGGTCAGGATTTACAGTCAAGAATTTTTGTTAGGTTAGCCGACGTTTCGGCCCAAACATATGGGTCATCCAAAGAGATATCTTATGGGATTCGAGACAAAACTCAGTATCTTGACAGGAATGAGTTCTTGTCTCGACTCCCATAAGATAGCCCTGAGGATAACACATCTTTGGGTCGAAACGTCGACTAACCTAATAAAAATTCTTGGCTGTAAATCCTGACAATTTTGTTTCATCCTAATAATTGATCAGTCGACTAATTACCCATCTCTAAAATTTTAAATATTAAGATCTACTAAAAGAAAGTAATAGCATCATAAATATGAGCTCTCTTCAAGCAGTTCTTGGCTCGCCTTCCAAAAGTCAGTCCAAAAGACCCGCATGTTTTGCTTGAAACGTCGGCTAACCTAATAAAAATTCTTGACTGTAAATCCTGAAAATTTTGTTTCATTCTAATAATTCATCAGTCGACTAATTACCCATCTCAAGATGAAGTTAGTTTCTTATGTTGCTTCTGCGAAAAATTCCGGTAAAAACGCACTTACATATTGACGCTAAAATGAGAAAACGTTAGTAAATTTCTGTTTAGCGAATATCAAAACAACCTAGGATTAATATCCAGCCCAGTTATAATTCTTTACTTCATGCAAAATAAAATCGGATGCGGTGTAGGGTAACTATAGCTTACCACCCTGCTTTGAGTAGAAATATTTTAATATTTTAGGTATCTTCAAGCATGGAGGAGTGAAAGTAAAAATTATTGACGGTATAACATATTCATTTAAAAAATTAAAAATTTTTGTCGGGTACAAAATATCAAAGGAAATAGAGAAATGCAATAAATAATTGCTTCTTGGTCAGGCAAGTTTAAGATAATGTGTAAATGTAAAATGTAAAAATGAATATTTTGGAGGAAAAAAAAAACCTGTGCTTTATCCAAAACATCTACCAAGAAACACTTTGAAAGAAAGTTAATAATAGTAAAATATGGGAGCAGTGTAACAATAGGAAAGCCCTGTACAGAAATGAGCATTTTAAATTACGGAAAATCAGAAAAAAGTAGGCTGTTCTCGGCCGTTTCCGATGATTTCTAAGCCTGCCTATTTCTTTAAATACGACTAATCCATATTTTTACTATATTTGATCATCAAATTCTTCACAGTTTATATCTAACCATTGGTATTACTAGCCTAAATGAGAAATGATTTAGATAAACAAAAATAAAGGTATTTTGGAGGAAGATATTTTGAATATTCGTCATTTAAGTCCTATCAGATTGCTGAAATGAAGATAAAACCTCTATGATGTTAAACACCAATTGATTTTATATTAAGGATGAATTGAAGGTGATTCCTCCGCTTTGAAGGTTGAGGAAATCCAGCACTCCACCTCCTTCATCGTCGTGGACTTGTTGACAAACATTTGTTGTCCAAATTGTGAAAAGTGTCCAACTGCACAGGAAGAATCTGTTGTACAAGTTGATTAGCAGGGCAATGTGTCAAGAGTTGTGTTTTTCCTTCCTGGCACAGGCGGATCTATGGGGAGGGGATGGGAGGAGGGCATTCGGGCTGAACTCCCTAAAATGGTAAAATATCACCATGTCTTATTAAAAAATTTTATTTTTCGTGTAATTACATTTAATAGGGCTTAAAAAATCACTTAAACACCATCTCGTAAAGGTAGTTGATTTCTTTCTTTTTCTTCCAAAGTAATTATCGTTATAAATTTTTAAAAAATCTTTCGGGCTGAAGCTCCTCCCAAAATGATATCATGGATCCGCTAGTGATTCCGGGTGTAGTGAGTTATCATCCCCAAAAACGTGAAAAGTGCCTAATCAATCCAATCTGTTCCCGTTAAAATCGGCATTATGAATACTAAATTGAATGAAGGAACAATACAAGTCGAGCAACAATATCAGATATACTTTCTCTTGTATTGTTTTTATAATTTATCATTACTTATATTATTTAATACTTGCTGTGGAAACCACTATTTCTATCAAGTAATAATATATAATAACTTATAATGTATTATTATACCAAGACTTCTCGACAAGGTTTTACGTTGAGAGATTCAACAACAAATTCGATTCGATTTCAGTAAGTCTAGGGCGATGAATATGGACTGACCACTGAGGGAGGTGGATCGGTGAATTCACTTGTTTCTGGGGCTTCGAATCGGAGGAAAAACCTTAAATTCACATTTCGTTTTACACTTTCATTCACTTAATTTACACTTTTTATAAATACATTAATACACTTGATATAAATGTTTGTTAAATATTTTTTGTATTTCAATTTCAGTCGTTGTGACCTGTGATCAAACATAAACAGAGACTGGAAGATGAACATACATCTTCAAATATTTATCTAACTTTATAAATAAAGATTTAATAATTTATTTATTAAATAAAGATGATTTACAATGTTTAAACGAAATTACTCTATCCTTTAAAGATATGAGGATAAAGGAGCCAGATAACAGGTGTTGTTAATTTATGCCAATTAAATAATACCAAAGAATATTATGTTATCGTTCGATTGGGGTGTTATCAATCAATGTAATCAATCCTCTTCTATTTATTCCTGGAAGGCACTAAAATTCAGTCTCATATCGAGAATGATTTATGTAAACTTTATAATAATAAATATTTGAGGGCTGAATGACAAACAAGGTCATTTAGCGGTCGGTCGAGTCCTCTTCATTGAAAAAACTTGAGTTTGCTTGTCTAATAGCTTAGCGAACGAATCACTTTCCCTAAGTTCTTGAATCTTATACAAAAGTTTTTCAAGCTTATCATTCAACACCGCCTCCTCTTCCAAAGCTCTTTTCTTCTTCCACTGAATCGCTTCAAGTTTTTCCATCTTTGCACGTGCTAATTCTTCAAGATAATGAATCTGTTTTTTAGTCTTCATCATTTCCATTTTTTGAAAAATTTCGTTTTCTTCACTGGCTGATAAAACTTCGTTAGGCCTTTTACCAGTCTTGGCTCTCACCATCCTTTCAAATCTGAGATTTTCCAAACTAATGTCTGGAGGGTCTTTTTCCGGCTTGATGTCCGATTCGTTACCCCCTTGATTGGGTACGCCTTGCACCCTTAAGATATGAGAGTCTCTGAGGAAGGATGAGGCAATGATCGGCGAACCGATCTTGTGATAGTTGGGCGCGGGCGGGGAACTGGTGCCCAGCCGCTTCCTCCACTTGGAAATGACCTCCTCCTGGTCGGAGCTGACGGTGACCGTGGAGGGTAGCGGCTTGAAGTGGAGCTTTCTGGTCGGTCCGCTCCTCTTCCGGCTGCTCGACCTTTCGCCGCACCTCTTTTCCATCTTCCTAACAGATTTCTCGTGATCTACTTCTTCGGTGGAGGACCCTCTTGAAACTCTCTTTAAATGCTCATACAGCATGTCATTCATTTTTTGTTGTTTAACCAAGAGGGATTCGTCAAAAGGCTGTTTGGGATTCATATGTAGCGTTCTTTTTTCGCTCTGTTTAAGATCAGGAGCAGGTTTTCGTTCGGTTTCAGCTTCCTTAGAAGGTTTGACCATGATTGAGCCCAGTAACGTAGGTTTTGGGATTGTTATATCTTCTTCACTTTTTCTATTCTCAACAGGATTGACTATAAACGATGTAGGAGGTGAAGAAGTCCATGTAACGTTTCCATGATCGTTTATTCTGTTAGTCTTATGAGGTAAACCTGTTCTTTCTTGGAGCTGCTCATCTGAGGAATGACTACTAGAATGTGGAGTTCTTGGCCTCGGCAGTCGGGTCCTCGCGCCCGGTGTCCTCGCACCAGGTGTCTTCGGTCTTTGTACGGCGGATGTTCTGTTTACTTTACTCCCGATTGATGTTCTTCTTGCATTCCATTCCTTTTCCTCAACTTCAGATAGCTTACTGCTAATTGTGCTAGTCTTCCTTCTATTCGCTGACCGCAACTTCCTATTGGAAGAAGAATGTCCTTTTGGTTTATCCAGACGACTTGTCCTTGACTTACACGAATTTATTGAAGCGTTATCTGCAAAAGATGAGATTTATAAGATATGGTAAGAAAATAATCCCATTAGTTTTTTACACTTTTTTTTCTCATAATATTGACTAGTGGCCCAAGAAAAATAAATAATAAAACATTTAAACTATTTTAATTATTTATTTGAATACTATACTAAATATGAATTGATCAAAATTATAGTAAATAATGATATTTTTACCGATAAAATTAGTAAAACTTCAGATTTAATTAATCGAAGTCATCCTCTTCTCCATTTTTCGTGGAACTGCTCCTTTCCAATAACAAATGTAATACAAAAAATATCTCTAAACAATGTTTTAAATCTTTAGCGATTATCATTTCTACTATTTTTTTTTTAATTTTACTAGGGTACTCTCTATTTACCTAAAGGCGGACAAACCTCAATTTTAAAAATTATACAACTGTTCATTTAATTGTATTACTCATTGCTCGAATTGTATAACTTTAATTTAAATGTATTCTGCATTTCCAAAATAATAAAAACGTATTATGTTTTTCAATATAGTGTAAGCAAGTTTCTTTTTTTTTTTTTTTTTTTTTTTTTTTTTTTTCCTTAACCTCCAAAATGTTTATTGAAACAATTACACATATAGTATACAAATAATACAATATATACATACAGTAATAAATTCCTTCCACTGCCCGAGGGCAAAGTGTAAACAAGAAAATGAATAACTTTTAAGTCTTTATTCCATCATTTTACTTTGTTGAGATTGGAAAATAAAATATGACAGTTACTAAAAAAAAACTTTTTTATATAATAGAGATATATATTTTTTCCTGTGTATTAACAATAATTTAATCATTCCAATATTTTAATTTTTTTCCAAAAAAAAAAAGAATTAGAAAAGAATGATGTAATGATACAAGTGTAAGAACGCGAAAATGTAAACGTCGGTGGATGCACAAAGTGCTCGCAGAAGGACCTAGGTTTGGTAATGCACTATTAAATAGATTAGAACTGGGAGACGGTAACCTTCAATTCGTTTTAAAACTTTCATTAGACCACAAGTTTTCAAAACAATTTGAAAATTACTAAATTACTGCTGGGGGCAGATTGAGACGTGTCTCACTTCTAGACGCCGAGTGACGTCCACGCTATCAAAATGTTGCACATGTCTAACGTTGCATAATGTCTCCCATCCCGTTCGGGAGACTTTAGACCTTTTGGCGGGGATCGGTTTATAGATTTGTATACGTAGACAAACTGAGACATGTCTCAGTGACCAAAATCGAGCAACAGGTCTACTGTGGATTTACAGATCTAGTGTGGACAAGGCTTTAGAATCGCTCTATATTTTGTTGTTTTAGTTTTTCATCCGATATTCATGTCTGGATTAAATTTTTCCATAAAATAGTATCAATGTTAACATCCTATTTCTGAATATGATGTAGTATCCTATAGTAGTACGTAGTATATGGTATCCTAATAGTGCCTAATGATAACTTATGATACTAAATTCTTTCAATAATTTATGCTATAATTCTGAAAAATCATTCATTTATCAAGATCTTGATAAAAACTTTCATATTTTAGTGATTCATTCTAAGGGTTATTCTCATGGAAGGGAAGAAATAATTTTCTAGGAAGGGAAATAATTGTGAAAACTAAATCTTATTTAAAAAACAAAAGAATGGACGATGATCCAAACATCCATCTATGAATATTTTTCAGCGGAAATAATCTGAGGTTACACTCTACAATAGATGTAATCAATAAGTTTACATCGTTAATTACATCTTTTCTTTTTCTTTTTTTTACGTCTTGGGTGCGATGATTCTGAATAATATTTCTAATCGACAGCGATTTAAAAAAAAAAAATCATCCCTTACTCAAGAGTTGGAACCATGGGGACATATTATTATAACATATTATTTTCTCGATAAACAAGAATTACCCATAAAACTATATTATGAAGTAACATAATAACAGTGATAAAACTATATTTATTACATCCATCACTTAAATTTTCATATTTGGTTAATTTATCAATTTTTTTTTTACCTGTGTATTGACTTATAGCTGTATTTTTATATGAAATAAAATGAGACATATTCATACCAAATATAAACTATTTCGGCGTTCGTTCATTTCTTCACCTCCACACTCTCTAACTCTTACCTCTATTCCTTCTTCTATGATGTTTCGCACTTGTCCTTAATTTAGGTCCCTCTTCTATCGAATCTTCATCAGTCCTATATAATAAAAATTATCATTATATTTTCGACTGGGTAATTTAATCAAACCTTTGATTACGTGTCATAATAATTTATATGACCAAATATACATATTATTGATTTTTCAAATAAGTCCTTTCGGTTTTTCTGTTTGTTTTTATGTCATTATGATACACTTATTATCTGAAGAATTAATCCATAAGGTGGATTGTTTATCCTATATCAAATATAGCAGTATTGTGTCTGCTATTGCACTATGAATATGGAAGAAAATATCATTCATTATCGGCATATTTTGTTGTATTATTTTAAAAAAGGTTAGCGTGCGGCAGAAGCTCATAGAAAAGTTTGCAGTGTTTATGTGGATAATACCTTAACCGAACGCACCTGTCAAAATTATTTTGCTAAATTTCATTTAGGAAATTTTGACATCAATGATGTTTAACGGTCTAATCGCCCACATGAAATTGAAACGAGCAATATTAAGGCCGTTGTTGATCAAAATCCCACCCAATTAGTGCGAGAGATGGCTATGACCCTAAATGTGTCGCACTTATATATTGCTTATTCGCACACAAGCATAGAAAACCATTTGCACAAGCTCAGCTATGTTTCCAGGCTTAATGTTTGGGTCACTCACATTATTTTTTTTTTGAAAATCACAAAACATAGCTTATAACTATATAGTTATAACTTCAATACGACTTTAGCTATCTACAAGAAATTTAGCAGGACTTTAGAGCACATAAACTACACAAAATGACATCAACAGGACCTTCATAAAACTACAAATGGAGATAAAAAATAAAAACCTATAAGGGGTTTTTATTCCTTATGTGGGTATTAAATCCAAAAACCATTCATACGGCTTTGAAGAACAATAATGCAGCTTTCCAACGGATATCGTAACATCGAATTTGGAGAACATCCTGAAGAGTTATAAATGATCGAAAGGTGCTGTGTTCCACCAAGACAATGCTAGGCCCCACATCTCATTGGTCACTCGCAATAAATTATTGAGCCTGGGATGGGACCTTTTGCCCCACCCTCCTATTTCACCAGACCTGGCTCCAAGTGACTACCACTTATTCCGGTCTCTTCAGAACTCCATGAATGGAAAGAAATTTCAAAAGGAAGAGGGCATTAAAAACCACTTGGATCAGTTTTTTAACAATAAACTCCAGACATTCTATGAACATGGCATTATGCAGTCATATTAAATAATGGTCAATATATTGTACATTAAAATAAATTTTATGTCTATAATACATTGAGTTTTATGTCACCCTGGAAAAACGAAAGGAGTTATTTGCCAACCAAATATTATAAATATAAAAATATATATAATATAAATATACAGAATTATCTTCACACATTCTCGCCAAAAATTCAGTCGCTATAATGCACTACTAACAATAAGTAGTTAAACCTTTAGGCGTATTAGAGTCGAATTATAAGAGACGACTGCGTTTCCCATGGACCAGAGACGGTCAAATGACAAAGTGAGTAATGAGTCCCGAGTATTTTACTCAAATTTGACTTCCCCGATTCTGATTACGGTACTCAGATATTCATTTGCTCGAATCTCGATAGTCACGGTTCGCGTCCCGGTGACAAGGCGTCTTTTAAATCCCCGCCCATACCCCCTGGCCCGGGAAAACCACGTATAGCCTTAACGGCGAGGAAGGAGAGGACCCAAAAAAAAAAAAAAAAAAAAAAAAAAAAAAAAAAAAAAAAAAAAAAAAAAAAAAAAAAAAAAAAAAAAAAAAACTAGCTTGAATATCAAGTATTTTACTCAAATATGAACTGCCTAACTTTCAGTATTTTACTCAAATAGCTGATCTGCGCCACTTTGAGTACTTTACTCACGACCTATTATAAATTATAGTTTTAAGTACCATATGCCTATTGTTAAAAATATAAATTATATTAATAGATGTGCCATCGTTCTAATTACTTAAATATTGTTAAGTATAAACTTGTAATTGCTTAACTCACTACAAATAACAAATTTAGGATTTATTTTTTAAATAATCGACATTACGATCCTGTTATACGTATATATCTATTTAAAATTTTCATATGCAGTTTTATAATATGTTTTTAAAGATGTGATTTTTTTTTTTAAATCTCCGTTTCGAGATTAAGGCACTGCGTTTCGACTTATTTCAGTTTTTAAAATTACTTTCATATGATGGTCTCTTTATATGTTTTCGGAGCTTCGGATTAAAACGGATTAAAACTATTTAAAACGGAGTCGTCGTTTTAAAATGATCTCCATTGTGTGATTACGCCACTGCGTTTTAATATCTTTGCGTTTTTTCGGATTTCTTCGACCACTACGTAGTGATTTATTTTAGTTTTTCAATATTTATCTGTATTTTCTTTAAAGTTAATTGTGTGTATATTGTTTTTGGAATTTGCTATATTTTGAATAAACATGTTATTTAAACTTGCCGTTAACCAGCTTTTTCTGATTCGTTTCTAAAAAATATAAAATAAATAAAAAATGTATAACTGAAATTTTTATGTTTACTAAAAATGTTAGCATCTTAATAATGAGGCAGAAGATACCTGTATTTTTTTCTTTAATTCTATCAGTTACACAGTAGAAAAAGTATAATATTTGAAGATGACTCTTATAATTTTCTGTGAACCTTAGAAAATAAAATAAATAAACAATATTAGAGGTCTTTAGTGTCAATAGCTGCCCATATATTACCAATTTGGTACAGTAAATTTGCAAGATTTGTGAAATTTCAGTTAACCGTGTATTTATTATTTATTTATTAACCGTGTATGTACAGGGTGTTTCAGGGTTAAGTGACCAAACCGAAAATATGAATTAACGATCTCAAAACGAGAAAAAATCCTAACAAATTTTCTTTGAAGGTATGTTCGCAAACGCTTTGTTTAGGAGATATCCACATCTAAAGATTTTCATTGTTATTAATTTTTGACGTTATATTAAGTAAATAAAACTTATTTATTTGTTCCAACTACTTTATTAATTAAACGTAAACATTAAATTCATATTAAATGTTGTTCAAAGTGATTTCCTTGAGCATTAAGACAGGCTCGGCATCTTTCTTCAACAGCAGCAGTGGCAGAACGGCACTGGATATGTGTTATAGTTTCATAAGATTCAATTATTAATCATCACAAAAGTTTGGTAATCTTCGGAAATCGCCTGGCATATATTCACGACGGGCAGCGTTAGCATTACCATTACAAAAACCGTATACAAACACCATATCGACATATTCACCATTAGTATAAATGGAAGGCATAATGATGAGTACTCTGCGAAATCCTCTTACAAACTGATAACTGTTATTGAGAGTTCCCAATGCTAATTCCAAATAGTATTAATCCTTATGTTGCCAATAGTTTGTATACAGTTAGGGATAAAAGGTCATATTAGTATTATATCTAATCCACCTCCTAAATAAATCGTTTGCGGACATATCTTCACTTCAAACAACATTTAATATGAATGTTGATGTTTACATTTAATTAATAAAGTAGTTAGAAAAAAATAAATATTTTTTTTTAATTTCATATAACGTAAATAATTCCTAACAACAAAAATCTTTAGGAGTGCATAACTCCTAAACGAAGCGTTTTCGGACATACCTTCAGAGGTAATTTGTTTCTTGTTTTGAGGTCCTTAGTTCATTTTTGCAGTTTGGCCACTTAACTTAAACGCAAAACTCTGTATATTCAGAATATGTTAGCATTTTTATAACACTATATTTAGCGGATTTTTATTTTGAAGCCCTCTCTTACCACATCTTTTCTTTAATTTGAGGAAAAGGTATTGAATTAATTCAATATAAAAAATTATATTTTTAATATAGAAAAAAATTTCTGATATTAATCAAGAAAACAAAATGTCTTTCAACCTGTATGCTAAAAAACTTTTTTCACAAGTTCAACTGCGTAAGGCAAAGCCAAATTTGTATTTGTTTGTGAAATGTACGATGCTAAACCGAAATAAAAAAAATTATATTTCAGTTAAATTATAATTCTTACATACTTAAATGTAATTTTTTTTCGGCTTTTGGTGATAATAACTATATTGTCTCTTAACATTTGGCGAATTCCATTCTGTATTTCAGGACAAATTATCTTCAAACAATTATTTTTGAATCCAGGATATGACAATAGGAGGTCGGCATTTGCAATGAATATACTAGAAATAAATACTCCATAATATATTTTTTATCTCCTTAGAAAATTATTTATTACGTCTACAAACGGTTTTGTTCGGATTAATAGACAGAGTCCTCTTCATTTAATAGACTTTTATTTCTAGAAGTTAGTCGAGAGTACGCTATATATATATATATATATATATATATTTTATTTTTTTTTTTTTTTTTTATTCAAGAATAATACAATCTGCCATCAGATTCATACAATATATACGAATAATAGAGAAATAACTATAAATAATAATAATATTGTATTTTTTATTGACCGCATCCCCGACTAACTTCTCATTATTCATCTCATCTCATTTAATTTTATCTTTTACACCTAAAATTTGTTGCAGGGATCCATAAACACTATTACATATTTTAAAATTTGAAATTCAGAATAAATTCCGTTCAAGATATCTTTTATTCACAGTGAATTATAAGAACCCATAAATATTTTGCAGTCCAAAGCAGTAGATCTTCGTTCCTCATTCTGGGTAATCCAGTGGACAGATTCTCATCTTTGCTATTACTTAATTCGACTCGCATCGAAGTAATCTTGATAATCGAGCTCGCCTTTTGTTATGATGTTAATTGGGCATCCGTTTACGTTTTAAAATCAAGTTAGATAGATATAATTGATAATGATTCGTTTATTTTTCAAATCCTATATTAATGCTCTCTTGTCTTATATATTGGCAAAGAAAAACATAATTTTTCTCAGTTTCTGTTGAGACGTGTTCGCTTGAGGTTACTAATCTTTTTTATTTAGTGAGAAACCTTCAGTGGGTAAGGTTTTTAAAATAGAAATTTAATTAGTGATATTTAATAATTTTTATTAAATTAAATTATTATTTTCATAGCGAAATGAGTTGTGATAATAACAGCAATGGTCCAACGTTAACTCCATTGCCCTCCCTCCCGGTAATAATGAGGATTACGAATCAGTTGGATTAATTACTTGTAAACAGAAGAGTAATCGCACTTCATATTTTTTAGAATTTCTTGACCGACCCTTTTTTAAGGTGATACCAGAAAAATCTACAGGAATAATATTGTGTCTGTATGTAACTATCGTTGACCTAGGATAGGAGAAATCAAAGGTTTTGAAAATTCGTTATCAAATTACTTAAAACAAGTCTAAAAACGTCATGGTGTTCAGATATTTCAAGTATTTAAATAAAACTTGATTTTAAAACGTAAACAGAAGCACGTTTTACATCCAAACAAAATGCGAGCACAAAAGAGTAAACGGGCACAAAAAAACTTGCTCCAAAATTACACAAAATACATTTGATCAATAGCGGAATACACAATTCATGCGATGATTTCACTAAAATCCGTCGATGACCCGTTTTTTAAAAAGATCTTTGTTAATTTAGGTGCACTTGATAATGGTTTAAAGATCGATGAACATTAGCAAGATAATCAACAAATTTTATGAAGATAATAAAGAAAAAATATTTTCAGGGATTCAAAATATCGAATTCATCGGTCAAGTACAGATATTTGGACAGGGAGAAAAAGAAGTTTTATGTGCGTAACTGCCCACTGGATTATTCAGAATATAGAGAGAAGGTCCAGTAGCTTTGGACTGCAGTAGATTTAGGGGAGCCCATGATTTACACAGGATAAAATATACTTTAAATGAAATTTGTTTCGAATTTAAAATTTAAAAAAGAAAAAATTGTTGCCACTATAACGGATAAAGCAAGTAAAATTTTGAGGGCTCTACAAGAGTTTGGAATTGAAAACAAATTTTTTAACATTCTCAGTAGCAGAAGCAGCCCTGTCATATTCTAAATTCAAGAATAATTGGTTAAACATAACATGCCCGGAAAATTTATTGTAGAAATATCGATATTTCCCTCAGGCAAACAAACAAAGGAAGGCAAGGAAACAGGCAAGATGAGTTAAATTTTTTTTTAACGATAATTTTTATGTATAATGCCCAGTGCTTTCCAAAAACTATAGTTTTAATTTTAATTTTTAAATTAAAATAAGAATAATTAAAGAAGATATCGATAGTAGATAATATCGAAGTATATCCTATCGATGGTAAAATATGGAATATCGGAAGGAAAATATAGATATTTTGATAATATCGACTATTGACGGCCATCCCTAATTCGAGTCATCCATCAAACTCAAAAATCGACCCAGCCGTTCGTTCAAAAAATCTCTTCACTTAGTTAAACTATTGAGTTGTTGGCAATCTGAAAATTTATTTAACTCACCTGTATATTTCATGTTCCCTTATTGAGTTGCTTTCGATGAATTGATGCCGTGGATTAACCACTTGTACGCAGATTGTTCCGTTGTCATAGTAGCCCTCTTCTCTTGTCATCGCCTTGAGAAATAAATTCATTAATTCATCTAATTTATATTAAAGTTTGAGGTGAAATTTGGATTAGAGGAGACTGGATATGGTTGTGACGATTTTCATTTAATCGTCCTCAATTTTGTTAGTATACCAATTAGATAGGAGAAAAGTGTTTTTATAGTAAATTGTGCCCTTGATTACGTATAAATACTAAACGTGAGTAAGTGTAATTGTTTTCTCATAGGAGTAAATAAGGAAAAACATCACAACCGACCACACCCCAAGGATGGATGTCTCAATTTGGTTGTCCAAGCCGAGTTCCACCGACTTGGAAACCCAGCACTTTAAGAATTATGGAATCAGCCCAAGCTTTATGGATCCCAGGTTGTTCGTACAGTCGCATATCACGCGCCATGCAACGGGAAGATTGGACGCCTTCACAGGACCTTAAAGGCAGCTATGATGGCTCACTCATCGAACAATTAATTGACTACTGTCTACTGTGAATTCTTCATTGAGGATACCTCCGATTCAAAGTACCATTTAACAACAATAATTAGCCAATTATATTTTGCATTCAACAGTTTAAAACAGTCCCTACAACCAGCAATCAAGCAACAGCCGAGAACGCTTGTTCATAAAGACCTTCCTAGTACCTCAAATGTCTTTGTTCGTGTCGACCGCGTTCGAGCCTCGTTGGTAAAACCTCATGCTTTTCGAATTTTGGAACGTTTTTGTGATTGACATAAAAAATAAACCAGTTAGCGTTTCCAGTGGACAGACTCAAAGCAGCCTACACGCTGGCAACTTCGCAATTTGAAGAACTCACATCTAAACAACAGAGGCCTATAAGAAAAGACTTACCAACCCCGACCAGCTCAGTGCTTTTCCCTCCTCCCGCTATGTCGAGGTCTTTATTCGACCTGACCGCTACGAGGGAAGTAGCTGCAGGAAGCTGACAACACTGAGTGCTATGTAACCTTCAGTGAATTGTTATAATCGAATTAATTGTGATATCATATGTGCAGCAACATTAATGTGTAGATATAACACATTAGTAGTTATTTCTATTAATTATCAACAAACCTACACGACGTTGAGTTTTTTTGAGGAATATTATGCAAAATAGTGAAACGTGTGTACGTAGGACAGACATAGAACAATAATAGTGAATGTAAGCTCGGACTTGGACCCCGAAACAGAAATGTTGTGGAAGGGAAAACGTATCGATATAAATAAAAAGTATGGGTTTAGAAAATGTTCCTCGTGAATTTATTTTTCTAAAGTATATTTATTAATGCCAGTTTTTATTTAGATTGTTTCGAATAAATCTTTACATTTATAGCAAAATGGGACTTATAATTAGTAATTTTTATCAAAAAATGATTTATGAACTAACTAAATTATTTCCAACAAATTGCCGCTTTTATGGTAAAATTCAAAAGAACGGATAGATTTTTACCATTATAAAATGTATAGGTTTACTGTTCATCATGTCAATTGAATGTGTAGTGGAGGAAGAATTACCTCCCCTTTGGAATTTTGGCTCTTTTCTGATCTTTTTTTTTTTTTATTGATTTCACCGTTATGGATAATTGCTTAAAACGTTATGGGATTCATTACATTTCATTCTTTTCTTGGTTAGGTTTACTTTCTGATCACATGTTTAAGTAACTGTTCATAACTTTAAAATCACAAAAGTTAAAAATGGTGTGTTTGAAGTATAAAGCAGCCAGAATTGTCTAATCAAAATTATGATTTGCCCACTCTTCGTGAAATTCCTTGATACCTCATTCGTCAAAAAATATCGCTCTTGAGAGTCGAAAGCCAGATTTTAGATTAAAAAAATGTTAAATAGATCAGAAATAATATCGTCGCCACCATGTTGAAGGAACGAATGTGCATCTGCCTAACGTAAACTTTCGATTATGATTATTTGTTACTTTAACATTTACTTATCTAACAAAGTTATAAATTCTTAAAAATGGCATTACTGATTCCGTTCTTCTTGTAGCCGTTCATACAAAAAAATGTTTCAGGCTGAAGCCCTCCCCCAAAAAAAATTAAATCCTGGATCCGTTAGTGACGAGATTAACTAATACTGAACATATGATGAGTGAAGTAAACAAATAAGCCTTTTCTAAAAAAAATTCATCAGATCAATTCACTTTTGATCTCTCTATTATAGATTATTATTTTTTAAAAGTTTTTATTCCTTCTTCTTTTAACCACCAATCAATTACCTTTTTAATTAAAATATCTTTAAATAGAAATAAAAAAGGATTTCTTGAGTTTTGAAATCACCGATTCAGATAGGTGTTTGGATGGAATTTTTAAAAAAACAGTCAATGATAAATGCAACTAAATAAAACTGTTCTCTTTAATCATGATACAAAAAAAAGAACAAATAGAATATTGGGAAAACGATACCTTTCTCTTCCCTTCTTCCATCCGCATAAGAGCGGCCCTGTTGAGCCGGTAGATACATGACTCCTGCCTGCTTCTTATACTTCTAAAAGACATCGAACATCAATCGACAGGCCACTTCCCCCTTTTCCTTTTCATAACTGGTCAAATTTTGACACCCCCAAGTAAAAATGGAAGTTAAAATTTATCAATTCCTATTCACACCATTAATTTTGTAAATATAACAGCTGTTGCTCGAATACTCACGCCATTTAAGACATTCGAAAGAAATATGTTAATCGTTGGAAGTTAAGAAAAGCAATTTGAACAAGTTTTGTTATTATATGAGTATAAATCTTTTCTATTCGGCATGTCAAAGATTCTAAAAAAAGTAGACTTAAAAGGTGATAAAATATTTAGGCGCCCCCTATTTGAGAAATCATTTCACAACGATACCATTTGTAAAGGGGCTATAAGACGACCAACATGGTTGGTGGATAGCGATGTTAAAGATGATGAACATCTATAGTCAAGTTGGTGGTTGAGTCCCATGTTGGTCCAATGGTTGAAGTATACTCAAGCAAGGTTAGATATTGTGTAGGTGGGGCTTATTCTTTCAACAAAGTCGAAGTGCTTGCGACAATGTTGGCCGACCATATGCTACACATTAGTTCTTCATCGCTATCCAGATGGGGCTAGGTTAAACTTGTAAGGAAATTGTTGTTTATTTGTGTTTAAACACTAATATAGACTCATCATTATCACCCATCGCGACTTATCCACAAATAAATCTCAAAAACAAAATATAATAAGCACGTCTGGAGAAACACTGAAGCCTACTTGGACATGAAATTCGTTAACACTATTTATTTTTAGATATATATATATCTAATTATAAGCAACACGAACTACAAAAGAGGATTTTTTTAAAAACTGAACCATGTGAACTCGATCATTTACTTCCATATGTTCTCAAACCCAGAGCCGTGTTTTTACTGATTCGATTTTTGTGATTTGTTGATAAATAGTATTTATCACGATAAAACGAAACCATTGTTTGTTTTTTTACAATGTTGTTATGGCTTTGAACATTCTCTAATTGATTCATGAGTTACTCAAAGAACTAGAAAAGATCCTTCATAATCAAAATAAACATAATATCCGTAAATCTCGGAGTTGAAATTTAGCGACCATATTGCCCAGTCATCGCACCGTAATCAGCCGATTACCTAATAAGTTGGGCGAACATCTATACCGACGCCTCAGTTTTTGACAAATATGATAAAAATCAGAGTTCGTTAACAGTACTTTTCGACTTCGACTATACTAATTAATGAAATTAATGTATTTAGGTAGTCATTCGACGCACAATTTAACGCTCTTAAATTTATTGAAAAATAAGTTTTTCCTTTGATGCACCATTCAACAGTTATAGAAGAAAAAACAAATCTGGAATTTTTGGTTGTAAAAAGTCTTCCCTTGGTGGCCCGCGACAGCAATTTTTGTTTTTACATTTTTAAACCCATATATACAAGTTAAAAAAATAAAAACTGTTCCCACATTTTTCGCAATATATTTCCCGTTTCGATCCTCAAGTTACTGGTCCAATATTTTTTAAATAATCCGCATTTCATATAGGTATTTAGTGTCTTTCTTTTTTTTTTTTTTCAAAGTAATTATCGTTATATATATATATATGTGCGTATGTGTGTGTGTATGTATACATATGCGGAAAAAAAAAGCTTTCATGCTAAAGCTCCTCCAAAATTAAATCTTGGATCCACGGGTGCCTGCGATGAATACCCTTTTTAGGTCATGTCTTCTGGGCTATAGAACAACCACCTTTCCTCGGAAGCCACTCCGGACGGAGAAGTAGGTCAGGATGCTCAGAAAGGATTTCCATAAGGAAAACTAATAAGTAAAAAGGCGTCTCCTAGTAAGCAACTAGGAGAACTGATTGACCATTCTAACTTGAGTTAGTTTTCCGGCCACTGAGATTCAGCAGTTGTCTTAAGTTCGTCATAATTGGTCTTTTGTCAAAGCTAGATGGACAGAGAATAATAACACATCAAAAAATAAAAAAAATAATTAGTCTTGGCAAAAAAAAATACCAGTAAAGTCAATTTTTTTCAAGTCGTTCGAACTTGCCGCCCACTGGTTTACAAGAAAGAGGATCGAATGCAATAAATGACTTAAGTCATTCTAGCTCACTTATTTTATCAATTAGCTTATAATGTTAGATTCACATAAATCAACATAGGGTTTTCTATCTCTTATTATTTCTATATCCATGTATCCTACACCTTCAAAACAATAAATTAAATAAATTTTACTTCTCTAACTCTTATAAGACAAGTTATTTAAGACATAAATATCAAAATTAACTTAACATTTTCAAATCTCGGAAATTTCATTCACTTCATTTACGATTTCTGGACTTAAATTGTAGCATATTTAATCTAGTTTAAAAATCTATAGAACGTTTTTTGTCAACAACGTGATCCTTGAAGGTTAGCAGGGAGAAAAACCGAAAAAAGTGCAAACATTTAGAAAGAAAGAAAGAAAGTGAATTTTATTCTGGGACAATTAGTCCCCTCAGACTATAATGAATACCGAAGTGGCAATTGACTGGCAATTATGAATAATTAAATGACAATAAAAAATAAATTAATTGACAAAGTTGTCTAACCCTAATATTAAAATAAAGAAAAGCCACTGTAGTACATATATGATCTTGAACTAGACATAGAAATTTAAAGATAAATACATACTAGTGAGTTCACGTATTTGTATAAATAAGCAATATGCATACATAGATATCTGCAAGATATCAGTATACATATTTAGTATCAGATACATATACATACATATATATATACACAAGATATCAGTATACATATAAACACCAGCGGATCCAGTATTTAATTTTGGGGGGCTTCAGCCTGAAAGCTTTTTTTTCATAAAAATAACGATAATTACTTTGGTAAAAAAGAAAGAAACTAACTACGTATATTAAAAGGTGGTTCCTAAAGTCCTTTTAAATGTAATTATACGAACAATAATACTTCCGGAGATAATTTTTTTCCATAAAACATCGTTATATAGTAGCATTTTTGGAGTGCTTCACAGAGACGATTCATTGGTCTCTTTAATCTGATCTCAAGCCCACCAGACAGTCCACTGTATACAAGGCAGCCATAATCGAAGTGAGGGGAAATGAGAGAGGAAGCTGAGGACCTGACGTATTTTAAGGGGCATAGAGTCAGGGAAGCCCAGAAATTGTTTGAGGGTAGCAATGGACTTTTGGATAGTTTGTGAGATGTGATTATTCCAGGACATACGTTGATCAAACATCACCCCATGGTTTCTTAGGGGAGCGTGGAATGGGTATCAGAGGTATCATGGGTATAATAGTTTTTGAGATTTTCAAAAGAGATCCGAGGGTGGGGGCGCTGAGGTCCAAAACTTGGATTTTGCATCTCAGTACCATCCCATACAAGAAAAAAAAGAAACTTTCTACCCCCATTGATGCAACTTAGAACCCTCTTTTCATGACAAGGTTGCTGGGCTATCAATCCAATGTTCTGTGATTTTTCCACCCTTTTCAAAAATAAAACAAGGTCTAGACAATTGCTCAATTTGTTTGCATAAGCTTAATTGATCAAAAGGTTTCAGTAATGTTAAATCACTCATTTACAAAATATAAAAAAACATTAAAACCTTTTAATATAATTAGATGGGGAGATAGGTAGCTCAGTGGTAGGGTTCTGAGTTTCCAATGCTTAAAGGTCCCAGGTTCGAACCCTGGCTCATGGCAGACCTGCGTAGGTAGACATGGGGCACACCCAGCCTCTATTAGGTGGGTATCCTTAATTAAAAATAATTAATCAAGGAGAAAAACCTGGGGGTTGCGTATGATCTCATTCAAATCGCCTTCTTGAATAACCGTAGACCAAGAAACAGTGCTTTCCTAAATAGTTCTGAACCCACGACCCTTCATGGGTTGTAGTGATACAGATTTCAGTTCCAACAGAATATATGTTGTTTTGGAACAGATGTCTCAACAATTTTATAAGCCGCCATCATTCATCAAAGAGATGAAAAAGAAAATCTAGAAGAAATTAGAGAAATATTTCAATTTATCTGATGATAGACCTATTCAAACATTTTTTCCAATAACATAACATGGTTCAAGTAATGATGCAATATAATTTTATTAGTGCACTAAACAAGTATAACTGTATAATACAGTCAACATTTCCTTAAATTATAAAAAGTATTTAAATATAGGTTCTTTTTGGTCAGCAGGCACACCTATGATCCTCAATTATAAATCTATTTCTGTAAGGGACGACAGAAGGTTATCATAGTCAACTATATCAAGACCATTTGCAATTTTGGCAGTATAAAACTCATTGTTAGAATAAAGTTTAAAGGAAATAACTTTGATTTATATAAATTGTTAGAGAATAAAAATGTTATTTATGAAAGGCAAAAATAAATTTCACTTTTAAGATTACAGACTCTTTGTGAGATAAAGTTGCTTCAATTTCTAATCACTACTTATATTTTAATTTCTTGTTTTCTTTTGGTATGTAATTATATAAGAAATAAAGCACCAAAATAATATTTTAAATCTTGTTAATTTTTCAATATTATCATATTTTTTTATTTGTAGGTGTGGCAGATTTTAGGATCAATGAGTGAAGTTTTAGCTATTTTGTAAGAAATATTCATCACCCAAGGCATTGTAGCCAATTTTTTTCTACTACCAAAACAATTTATTTCATGTCCTCAGTCCTTAAAATAGAAGACATTTCACAATGAACTTTGTAATATCTATAGAGCCATGTGAGTCATCACTTGATCATCCACCTAAAATTTCATAGCTCCTTCATAAAGAAAGGATTCAATCATCAAGTAATGTCTTACAACTTGACTTAGGTACATGAAATGTAATAAAAACTACAAACTCTAAGTTAATATAATTATGTTTAGAAACCATATATATTTTCTGCATACATACACAAACTTAATTATACAATTTGTTTTTGCAAATTTGGTCAACCTGACAAAAACAAGATAGGTATTCTAATTGAAATTCACAACATTGAATTGACACTGTTAGTTGCTGCAAATAGAGTTTGTAAACAATTTTTACATGTCTTCAAGGAAATTCGAACAGTGATGTAGACAACCCAACCAGATCAGTCTCAAAGACGAAACTCTTCTAGAGTTCAACGAGAAGTGGCAGTAACTATATCTTCATATATGAAGTAGTGTAACAACTGTTTTATTAAATAAAATCTCATTATAATATTAAAATATTCAGCACTACAGGTAAGTTTTTTTTTAATTAACAAAAACAAAATTTGAGTTAAATTGATAACTTTAGTTGTTTAATTAGCTTAATGGACATTTTAAACAGTAATTTAATTTTAGAACATAAATTCACTAATATTATGGAACTAGCTACAATAAGTGAGAAAGACAAGGAAAGTGATTCATCAAATGCTTCGTTGCTTGATAAGCATAAAAACCGAGAAAATCCATTCAGAAAGAAATCAAAATTTGGGTATATATGATGTATTCATTGAATTCATTGAAATATAAATTATTGCTGACATTTATATAATCCGCTTGATTTTTATTAAGCCTGGCATCTAGTACATCTTTAGCTGGCACAGCAAAAACTAAAAGGGAAAGGTCACACTCCATGCCATTTATTGCAAAAGGACTACAAATACCAAAAACTGATACTGCCAAAATATGTTTGTAAGTAAAAAGATTAACTGCTTGTAATAGTATCACTACAATTGATTACAATATATTACTATTTCAGAGGTAATTAATCCTTCTAAAATATTTTCATTTTAGTGAAAACATGTCCATGACAATATCTGGATTATATTGCAATTTACTAGTTGTCCTTGGGATGTCTTTTCCAATAGCCGAAGTTCTATCTGCTCACGTCCCAGCATCAATGTACGAGGTAATGGAAAATCATATTAATTTTTGTAACATCAAATATACCAGAAATGAAAACATTTTAAAACAAAGTTAATTACAAAACCAAATATTCAGAATGATGAACTTATCAATCATAAGTGTTTGCTATTATGAAATGGTTAATATTTTGTATCTAAAAATGGTTATTCTACCATTAGATTGTGCAATATTTAAAATTTTATCACTTCATAAAATTACTTTTGGTAATTTTTTATAAAATAAATTTATATTTATTCAAATTTATCACTTTATTAAATAATTAGAGCCAGTAAGTGTGAACAAATCAAGAATAATGACATTAACAGGCTTGTTGACATATTACCTAATGGTAGAAGGAATAAATCAATATTATAAAAAATTAATCAAGACTTTGTCATCCTGAATTTGGATTAGGTAAAAAAGTAAGGATTTTGTATTGATGCCTATTTTTTGAGCAGTATAATGGTACTTTTTCTTTTCCACTCCCTTTCATAGCTTTATGGGTGGGGGGAAGGAGGGGTTTATGTATTAGGTAATTATACAAATTAGCATATCTGTGTTATGTCACGCTAGAGTTAAAAACCTTCAATAATATTAATGTTATACCCTCCGATTGGAATAAAAACCATACCAACATTGTTTATCATTTCAAACCACTGTTACTTCCTCACTAAGGAGGATAGAGAAACTCTGTGCCCAAGCAGAAATTGAATAAAACGTTTTAGACATGAAGGAACAATTTAGTTCTGTGTCTGTCTGTCTATAGTGAAATGATGGACATAACATCTACTACTATTAATCTGATTTTAATGAAAGTTTCAGGTTTTGTGCACATTAGTACCCCATATCAATTTCATACACTACTTTCATTTAGTACCCACACTAAGTAAATGCATAACCAACAGATTGTGTGACCATTGAAAATGACAAGAATCAATTATTTTAGTTTTTTTTTGTTTTGTTTTTTCATAAAAAAAAATGTAACTAATATAAAACAAAATTACTGTTTCAGGCATTTTACTTGTACTTGTATCTGGGAAGCTTGATTTATTTAATATTCATTTATTTAACAATTATTAAAAAAAACTCAAGATATATTCATTTACAAGATTCCATCAAAAGAAAGGTGTGTGAAAAGCAATCCATTGAAGAACCAAAGCATAAATTTGAATCTGCAACAACTGCCAGTAGATATGGAAGTTTTTATTTACGCATGGGAGCAGCTGGTATTGACAAAAAAAATATGTTACTTACTTATAGAACAGTATTTTTTATCTTAGAAATAGTTAAGAGCTGTGATGTGAGACGGCCATTTAAAGTTTATAGAAAGTAGAGAAAAACCTAATTTCTGTTATATAAGTTCAATTTGATCCAGTTGTGATTATTTTTACATTCATTTACATATACATGGATATACTCTAAGTATTATTTTCATTTATCTATATATGAAATTATGAAACAGTTAGAGTAAGTATTGTGATCATGAAAAAGTTTTAATCCAATTTTTGAGTGAAAATACAAGTTTTGAGATTTATAACTTATAAAAAAGTCTCACGAAATGGTCTATGGGTATTTGTGTTAGTCTATAAGGTAATGTTAAAAAATAATGGTTAAAAAATAATAATATCCAACATATAAAGTTCTACATTATGGTGAGTGACAAAAAACAAATGAAAAAAATAGTAAGTTGTAGTCAATACTTTCTACTTTTATATTATTGAATAGAAAATTAATAATTCTGCGAAAACTAAATGAAAATTATTAAAATTTGTTTCCAGTCTGACACACCAAAAATAGTGTTTTAGAGAGTTATATATTACAGTAATTGCCATAGGTTCATATTTATAGTTTAAGCAATATTCTTTAAGTTTATTAATTTATTTTAAATTAATTTCTATTTAAAGTAAAATAGTAAGTGTAAGATGTGTGATATACCCACCACATCAAATTTATTTTTAGAAGTTTAAGTTAAATTATAAAAGAAAAAATCATCAGAATTGCTATATTTATGCTATATAACAAATATTGACTTTTTCTCAACTTTCTGAAAATGATATATAAACTGCCTTTGTCTATGAAGCCACTCACTTGTCTGAAGTGTTGATTATTTTTTTATTAATTCATGTAATCATAAAGTTTTAAATAATACCTTGTTTTTTTAAATTTTAAATATTCAATAATCTATAATAATATTAAAATTGTTTTTTAATCACAAATAATTGCTTATTTATTTTTCTTATATAAAATTTATTTTATCATCCATTGCTATTTATTGTTGTTTTTTTCTTTTGTTTATTTTTAATCAAATTTACCCAGAAGTGGTACATAGATGACTCTGGATGTGCTAGTCTTAAGTTTACATGTATGCTGTTAATAAGTCTAAATACAACAAACATTTAAACTCAACTGTGAACTATTTCTGTTACAGCTTTTGGGATAGGGAGCATGATATATTCTGGATTAGAATTTGGTCAATATTTTGAGCTTGTAAGGAATGTTAACTGCAGCAGTGTTCTGATGGCAGTAACTCCAGCAGTCAGAATGGCATTTGTTATGATTCAATTACAGTTTATCTTTATGAGTGATAAGGTATTTATTTTAGTCATGGATCGTAGCCCTTTTGGTGTCTAATGCTCACCTTCACAAACCATTTGATAAAATGAATAGGAAATTTGAATGTAATAAATGCATCATATTAACCTCAATAACTTTTCACACTTTTTCAAAATATTTGTCTGAAATAACAAACAATTGTTTTATTTGTTTTTATTTATTAATTTTTTGTTGTTTTAGCAAAAGAATTTATCGAAATACAGAATTTTATCTAAATTTGGATTAATGCATATGATTGCAACTAATTTATCAGTATGGTTAAATGTGTTGATTCAAGAAACTAAACATGAGATAGTCACATTTTTCAACCCACATGCCGCGACCTGTAAGATTGTTTCTAAATAATACCTTCATATAGCAACCATACATAGATTTCTTTATTTTTCTATAGATATATATAATTTTGTATATATACAGCTATGGGAATAATTGCTGATTTCTGGACTACCAACAAATTATTAAAAGAAAATTCATTTAAAGAAGATCCTATCATTTTGAACGACACAGAAAGTTGGTTGAATATGGCTCTGAACAGGCAAGTAATAAAACTATATAATTAAAAAAATGTCCAATACTTTCATAAATTTTAATTTAAAATGTTCTTAGAACAAAAAGAGGACTTCACCGTCCACAAGAGTTATACAAATGCCGAAGAGCAAATATTATGGGGTCACTATTGCAAAATGCAGCACCATTTCTTTTTCCTTGTACAATAGAATACAGCTTAATATGTGCAGTCATATTGTATGCATTGTGGAAGAATGTAAGCGGAAAAAACAAAAAACATAAAACACATTCAACTTCAAACAAGGTATTTATGAGACAAACTCCTCTAAACCAAGTGTTGATTTCTTCTGGCCTCTCTAATTAAATATTTTATTATTTTGAATATTCTAATAGCCTATCAATATGAAACTGTATACGTACAAAAAATTTTAAATTAGATTTATTTTATGTTACCTTAAAATTTACAAATAACAATTAATTTTCAATACTTTATACTTGATAGTATACCACTTATTAGTACTTATGATTTAAAAAACATCTCACTATGATGAAAATTTAATTTTTTTGTTTCTTTTGGAAAGTTGGGATTTATTAGTTATACTTCACATGAGAATGACAGTATGTTCAGTAAATCGAGAAAGTTGTAACTTTGAAAAGCTCTTAAAGACCAACATTCCCATATACTTGTTGGAAATCTCAAATGGTGTGTCCATGCATCTTCCAGCACCATTTATGACAAGGGACATCACTGTCCCCATCGAAGCTAGCATGTACAAATAAATAATGGTAAATAAAATAATATAAATAATGAATTAAATATCTCAAGTTTTTTTTAGAATATATTTGATAAGATTTTCCATAAAGTGATATTTTTTTTGGAATTTTTACTTAAAGAAATCTACATGAAAGTAACAGATTCCCCTTTTACACATCAGTAATTATTCAGGTCATGAGTTTAAAAATCTGAAAATACAAAAATATCTAATTTGTTGCATTAGTTTTTCATAATCAATATTCTGGATAAAAAATAAAAGCATTTATGCGTAAAATAATATAACAATATAAAAACATTAATTCAATACTAAAATAAAACAATATTCCTACTGTTAGTGCGAAATTCATACATAAAAATTGAATTTTTTTACAGAAGAAGAAATATAAAGCTTTAAGAATAAAAGAAATGAATAAAAAGGAAAAATTAATAATCTATTATAGAGAGAAAAAAAAATTGATCTCTGACATTTTTTTAGAAAAGGCTTATTTGTTTACTTTACTATTTTAATCATAAGTTTAATATTAGTTAATCTCATCAATAATTATCACTACTGTTAGTGCAAAAGGTCGTATGTATAAATTGAGTTTGTTTTTCATGATTTTACTGATTATTTCTTTATGATTTATTAGTATAATTTTATAATTTATTCCCCTCCGCTATTTTCCTATTTAGCAGACTACTTGTAGCAGTAGCAGACTACAAAATGGACATTTTAAAGATGATCACCTTTAGCACAAAGAGAATAAACATGTAAAATTGTTACATATGGTCTTTTGCACTAACAGTGACAATATATTATATAAAAAGCAATAGGATTTAAATAAGAATAAATATATAAATAAAAGGAGATGGGATGAAAAAGAAAATACGGTTAAAACAAAGTCCAATGCAGACTATTTAGACAAAATAGATGCAGTGTGACAATTAGAAATTTAATAACCAATATTCTCTACAGATGAGATATTTTTAGTAAATTTTCAGAATATTATAAAATAAATGTATATATTATAGACAACAAAAAGTGGTATGTTGCATATTTATCATAAAAAAGAAAATATAACTGTAAAAGTAAACTAATACATATAATACTTTTATAATATATTATTTACAATTTTTTTATAACAAATAGTCTAGTCGTTTATGATGCCTACAAGTTTGTCACTTCTTTTGGTCTAGTCAGACTCCTTGAAGCCTCTGGCAGCCATATTTTCCTCCCCATTCTGTGACCATGTCTTCTCTCTTTTTAAAAATAATATTATTCATACATTGAAATAGTTACTGTTTATTTTATTGTTCCAAAATAGAAAAAGTATCAATGAATCACCATAAAGGTCCAACTATTGGAAATGAACCATAAAAATAAAAATTTATAGGAACGGAAATGTTGACTAAAAAAGCAAATGTTTTAAATTTTATCTACTAAAAGTGTTAAATTAATATCAAAGAGTTTTTTTAACATTCTGGATTGATATGCATTGACTTTATACCTTAATCTGTTATGCAGTAGCCGATTCAGGATTTAATTTTGGGAAAATTATGATTTCTTTTCTTTTTTTTTTTTTTTTTAAAAGAACCATAATTACAGGAACAATAATGTAAGCAAAATATCATTATATAAATAGGCAAACACAAACCGGTTCAGCCCCTTTTTCTCCTCTATTATTCAACTGATTTTCTTCCTTATTTTTTTGTTTAATAGCTATTGATGAGCTTTAGTGTTATCAATAAATAAAAATATGAAATAGTTTGTAAATAAATATATAAATGGTAGTTTGTTCAAAATAGCTAACCTCCGAAAGTTCTTCACCGATTTCTTTGAAATTTTGACAAAACGTTGTAATGATATTTAAAAGTGTTTTGTTATACATTTCATTATGATCTGGCCTTTCCTTTAAAAATGGTGGCCGAAAAACGTGATTCGCTTTAGACTGTAGCACCAATACGGCTTTAACGATTTTAATGAAACTTGGCTAAAGTCTTCTCCTTCAAACATTTACAATTTATGTATATAACATACTTTCCCGAAAACAAGCTGCATAAATTTTTATGATGAATTCAGTATTTTATTTGCAAATAACTCAAAAAGTACACATTTTTTTATTCCAATATTTATTTGAAAGCTTCCTGAATTCCCTACAAAATAAAAAAAAATCATCGAAATCGGACTATTTGTTGCGGAGACATATCATTTCAAACATTTAGTCGATTTCTTCTATTTTGGTTTTCGATAAATCGAAAACTTTAAATTTAATGAAGTGATCGGGACTATTATTTGAAGAGATATCATGGAATGTCATCTCATAAATTAAATTTAAAAATAAATTCTATAGTTATACTCATTCTTAACTTAGATACTGCACAAGCAGTAGTTAATGGAACACGAATGAGAGTGAAATACTGATGGGAAATATTTTAAATAAAAGAATTATAATTCCAAGATTTAATTTAATATTTTCTGACACAATACTTCCATTATAATTTCCAATTTTACATTCCAATTTTACAATTCCAATTTTCCATTACAATTCCATTTTACAATTTTCCATTTACAACTTCCAATTTCAAAGAACAAAGTTCTTATAATTAGCCGCATTTGCTATGACCATAATCAAATTGCAGAGTCACACTTTTGGAAAAATTTGTGTAATATTGCGACGTCCAGTAATTTCGCATGGACAATTATATGTAGCAGCAAGTAGAGCACGTTAAAATTAAAATTTTGAAATTTATATTTCCAACGGCAATGGGCAAAGCTATGTACTAAACAATAACAGAAAATTAAAAAAGAACATTTTTTTAAGAGAATTTCTGCATAAAAATGGATTTAAACTCAGTTGAAATTGCTAATTTAAATTTATTTTTTTACTTGCTTAATCATAAGATTAATTTAATGTAATAATAACACACATAAATTAAAATGGAAATTAAAGGTTTTGAATGAGTCTATTTTGCATTACTTATAAATAATTGTAGGTAGTTTAAGCTCGATTTTTAATTGAAATTGAAATTTTGTTTATATTAATAAAAGATGATTTTTGAATCGTGATTTATTCTTTATTTATTGAATTTATTTTTAATTTAATTATGTTTTCCTCAAATTTTTAATGGTTATGGTCGAAATTTCGACCACTGGGTGAACACTAGTTTATTTAAATAAATAAATTTTAAAAAAGAACATATTCTGATAGTTATCTAAAGTATTTGGCTCAGATCACTCACAGAATCAAATATGAACCAATGAAAAAAAATTCTTTTTCAACTTCGAAAGGGCGTCAAAGCAAAAGTCCTTCTTTAGAATCTGCTATGTCTGTCCTGAATAGAAAGGATACGCGGGATCCTACTCGGTTAAACACACTAACCATGACAGGAAGATGCTGGTCTGTGATGGTCCTATAATGTTAAATATAGCAATCATTGAAGTGTTACCAACAATTCATTTCACCATTAGATAACTTTTTTGATAAGTTTTTCCTTTTTTTTTTTTTTTTTTTTTTTTTAACTTTGACCATTCAATTAACTTTTATAGTATCCCACACCTCTCTTTTCCATTGAATTTAATATAAGACTTTTATAGAAACTAGAGAATTACAAAAATCATTATTATAGCAGGTAAAAAAAAACTAAAAGCAGTACTTGGGAGAATAGGAGCATAGATCCTTACTCAGAGCAATACCACTCCTACTTTAATCACTAAAATACTAAATAAATCTATCTCACCCAACAACTTAAATAATTGCAAAAGGCGATTCAGTTTATAGATTTTTGGTATTGTATTTGGCTGCAGCACTACTTACATCTGTATGATTTTCTTTTTTTAGGTACTAAAACCAGTCACTACGAACACCTCACAATACTTCACTGTAGACTGTGCTAATGCCCATAAAGGTCTTTTTGCTAGCTTCGTAGTCCTAGTATTTACAATAATTAGCCTAATCATGTTCTTTGCTTTGATCAAAGAAGAAGACTATGCTACAACTGCAGTTTTTCAAGTTAATTTATGCGAACTTACTCTGTATGTTATTAGTACTCTAGCAACCGTTTTCGCCATGTATAAAATTAAATACTTACCGTAAGTAGAAAACTTAACATTTTACATAATATTCTATTGCTTTGTTATAATAGATAATTTTTAATAACTCATAATTATTATTAATTTTAGGTATGAAAAAAACAGGCACTTAGAATTAGATACTATACTCTTGGTTATGGCACAAACTGGACTTTATATTTACTTCATGTTTTCCCTTATTGCTGGTTACTTCACAAGAGAAATTTTTACAAGACCGAATATATTTGTGACAGCAATATTCGGAATCATTCAATCATCAATGCAAACATTATTTATAATTGATGCTTGGTGGAGAAGATGTATAACAGCGAGTGTAAGAATATTATAATTAAAATATTTTATAGTTTTTAGTCTTGGCCATTCATCATTAATTATATCCTCCTCTCTTCTCACTCTAATCTTATTTAACAAAATAAACACTCGTAAGTTATATTATTTTTATAGTTGGACGTTTCAGGAATACTTTGTCCTCAGTAACAGCCCATATAAAATTGGATATAATAAAATCAGATAAAGAATAGTGTTCAAATCATGTTTTATTTTTTAAATAGAAAAAGTTAAGATAAAAGATAGGACCAACATGGTATCAGTTTACATGACAATTAGAAAATTATATAATATAAATAAAGTGCTAATGTTGTTTTGTAATTAGAGATAAATGAGGTGTACGTACAGCAAAAGCTTCCTAATTTTAATGTCTAAAATCATTTAAAAGGAGCCTGTCATTGGTAAACAATCTGAGCATCATTTAATCATTTTTTTTTTAATTTTATTTTTTTTTTTACATACATAAAATTATTTCGTCTATTTGAAACTGTAATAAATATATAAAATTTTACTTTTTCATAATATATCTCATCAATCAAGGATTTGCAATTTAATTGTTGATTCTTTTTTTTTTTTTTTTCAGTCAGCAAGAAAAAAACCAGCAAGACAACTTGTAACATTCCTATTAATATCAAATCTAGCAATGTGGGCTATCAATCACCTGGAAAACGCTCGTGCTGATTTCCATCCGATAGAACTGAGATTTTATGGTGTCTGGGCATGGACCATTATAACTCATTTGTCTATGCCTCTTGCAGTATTCTACAGATTTCATTCAACTGTATGCCTCTGTGAGATATGGAAATGTACTTATAAAATGAGACTTCAAAATGACCTGATAAAAGTTCTATAATAAAAATATCTCTGAATGATCTTTTGTTTTAACTCCAATATCACTTTTATGTTATAAATACATGAAATTTGCAATTAAAACACAATTTTTAAAAATAATGTTTTATACTATCCATTCCATTAAAAAATGTATGATAAATTATTCTGATTTACATTGACCAGCCATGCCTTTTTAACTGGATACAAATATTACTTTGAAATAGAAGTAGCCCCCAAAAAATTAATAAAAGTACACTTTAAAGATTAATAATAACTAATTTGATTTTAAATACATTTGAAAAAAAAAGTTATTAGTCAATTGGGATTCAAAAGAACTAGAACACAAAAATAAAAGATGAGTTTTACTTCTAATAAACAAATCTTTTAGGTTTATTTTACGCAAACCAAGACAAATCCTTTATAGTAAACAAATAAATTAATGAAATATTACTCATTTCTTAAATGTCTAAAAATTTATCTTAAATACCTGAAAATTGCCAAATTAGTTTGACTGAAATTAAGGATTAAGCATGAGAGAAAGATAGCTAAGTCAACAATAATAAATACAAGGGAAGTTTCAATAGCTCATGATCTCATATCCAGCTTTTAATGAATGTTATGGTACAGGTATGGTGTCCAAATCTGTAAAAATATAATTTTTTTCAATAGTTTTTCAAAAAAACTATAGAATTTTGTTTTTTAAATAATTAGTCCACTGTAAAGTGTAGTTAATAAATTAATAACACAGACTGGATTACTAAGAGACCAGAACAACAATGACATAAACAATTACAATTTTATTATGTATTGATGGTAAAGGAAGGAGATGGTCCGAGAGAAGGAATGATTCTATATGTAACAAATATAGAAAGAAATGCATTTATTTTTAGAAAATAAAATCTTCCAACTTACTGAAGTCGTTTAACTTAATATAATACAAAATTATTCAAACATAAACAAATACAATACAAAAAAAATTAGAGAAATGGATAAACTTAATTATAATCAAATCAAGCACTTAATTTAGAATAATTATAATTGAATATTTCTTTTCATGTTTTTTGCTGATGATACTGAAAATAACTTGATCTTCTGATAATGGCTCCTTTAATGCCCATATCTACAATTTAAAAATACATTAATTATAAACAAAAATAAATATATTCATCACATTAATACAAATGAATAAAATAATTATATAATAATAATGAGGGGTCAACGACTTGAATTTTCTAAATGAAACCTTTTAAGAAAAAAACATGTTTAAATTAAAAGCAATTACTTCAAAATAGAACTAAGATTAGAAATTGGTTGGTTGATTTGGTACAAACAGTTTAAGGTAACAATTTTTCTTATAAACACCTATCCCCACTTATGGTTCTAGAAGAATCAGATTTGAATTTCTTTTTAGACTACCAAAAAAAGACCTAGTACATGATCTTATCACAGAATTCCTTTACATCTAGAAGCTTTGTTTGCACATTTTGAGTAATTATTTTTAATAAAAATTATAGTAAATTATTCAAAATTCCATTTATAATTTACTTCTGGCTAAAATGTTTTAGTGAAAACTTATAAGTTAACTTTTAAGTACCAAAAATCCTAACTTCATGCTTCAACAAAAGAATAAATAAAATTCTCCACCAATAAGTGGATTATCTAAAATAACTGAGTCATGTACATGGATTGAAAAAGTTTCCATAAATAGCAATGTTTATCAACAACATATTAAATAGTAGTTTTAGGCATCCTTTCAATCCTCTTTCTAGTGCAAAACCTTAGAACTACACCTTTATCCAGAAAAGGCTTAACTTTTAACCTCATGAGGCTAAAGAAACAAAAATGAATTTACTGTATATTTAGTAATGCAAGAATAGCATTACAGATATTTTGTTCCTAAAAAATTAGGAGAAAATGAAGATAACAAGAATTAAACAGAGATTAAAATACCGGCTGATTAGGAAAATGATTAGGAAATTAAAATCAAACTTAGGTCGGTGAGAACAAAATCGCAGTTTATAGTTTCAAAGTTAACACCTATATACCAGAAGGCATGTTAAAGCAAATCTGAGCCACACAAATTAATAACAGAACACTACACTAGTAATTTTAAAGATCTTATCTAACAAATAAAACACCTTACAATACACAAAGTAATGGCTACAACAAAATTCATCAAATATAATAACAAGTCGTAATAAAAGAAACTGACAAAATAATATATATACATATATATGAGGGAAAAGCGTATAAATTTAGAGGCAAATTTAACGTTATCAGAGCTAAGATTATAGATATTTTGGTACAAACAAAACAAACTTACTTTTGAAACTCCCATTCACGATTGTCTAATGGGCAAACTTGCCTAGTTTTTAGCCATCTTGAGATACAATGAAAATGAAATGCATGCTAGAAAAAAAAAACAAATTTAGAAATGTTGTCATTACATAAATAACTTATTAATGGATATTTAACATGATAATTACATTACAAACACCCCACGCCACTGTGCATTCCTCACTTGTAGCAGAGGCTTGATTAGCTTGGCATTCAATACATAAATCCATTATATGATTTCGACAAATAGCACAATTATCAACAACTATGTCCCAGGCCCAAAGTGCAACAGCATTCCACTGAAAATTAACGCAAATTAATAAGTACCTTTGAACAAAATAAAATAAGATAAGAAAACTAATAACAATATACATGAATAACACCATTCATTTAAGAGAATACTGAAAATAAGAAATTCAACCACTGATACGAAAATATATGTTTGAAAAAATATTAAAGTTGATAATAAGAGCTGTAACTGTGAATATTCTTACTTTTTTAACTTCGAACCTCTTTTTTTCACCTTTTCCACTGCTGGAGGTCGGAACCTCGTTCTCCTCATCGTCAACGTCCATTGCTGAAGCCATATCTGAAGATGATTTGACTGTTACAATAAATCGAAAATTGTGGTAACAATTTTAATTCGATTTTGATTCTAATAATTGGCAAAATAAATTAATAAAAGGTTAAAGTATAGAATAATTATAAGTTTATTGAATTTGTTTTACGTTCGTAGATTAAATATCTATAATTTTATTTGTTGCAAAGTAAATTTATATATTTTATTTTTAGAAAAATTATGTACTTATAAAGTTTTAACAACAAATTGCATAAAATCATTGAAAGTCGAAAGATAAAGAACCTAATCTACGAATCTAATAGCAGTCAAGATCAAGGGCCATATTCGTTGTTTTGGTTTTATTTTCAAATAAATCTTATGGAAGTTGGTGTATTTAATTATGTTCAGATGACACAAGCGATTCAGTATAAATTTCAGAGTAAATACGAGTATAAATACGAAATATAATTTTGAATGCAAGTTACATATGAATCCAGGCCTTTTCAAAAGTTCTTATCTTGAAATTTTGAATATACACGTACCTCTTTGCCGATTCTTTCATTATTATCATGAGTGAACCGTATTCATTAAAACAAAGTTATAGTCGTCACTTGTTAAATTTTATACTTTTCGAGTATCATCATTTCGTCTAAGTATAGTTGAATATTTTAATTTCAATTGAATAATTTAATAAAGATGGGTGTTCATAACTCTAACCATGTAACTGTAAAAGTTAGTAGAATATACATTAAACACATATCTTTCATATGTTTATAATAACATTGAGTACTTTAGATGATAGGGCCGCAAAAGTTTATCCATTTTGTTCTCTCTCATTACATATTATCTATTGTGGCTGATCGGTATGCTGGTTCATTTAGCAACTCATAGTTGATCAGCTGTACAGTTTAATTGTACTTCTCTCTCGCTCATTCAGAAAATGGTAGGGAATATGACTTCTATGTCCTCTTTTGCTCTTGTATCTGATTGTTTCAAGATTATTATTTACTAATTAACTAAATGGTACAACAGACCTAGATTGACTTTGGCCTCATTTAGAATCGATAGCCATTCCTGCCTATTTTTCGCCTTCAGGTACTATTTCGCTGCCCACCGCGCAGAATTCTAGCAGTTAAGCACTGACTTGGTGGAATAGAAAGGAGATTATTTCGCTGTTGGGGAAAGCACCAGTGATATAACGCCTTATCTATTCCACTAAAGCACTGCTTAACAGCTGGACATTTGGCTTGGTGGGCAGTTCCAGCGTTATAGCGCCTTTCCTTCGCCATCACCATCCTCTTACCTACGTTCATCTTAAAAAGTCTTCTACGTCATCCGAAAACCTCAGCCTTGGTCTTCCCGTCAGTCTCTTTCCGCCTGGCCTACTATCCATTATCTTTTTTGTTAGTCTCTCACCTGCCATCATTTGAATATGGCTATCACAGCTTTCCTTCTTAGATGATGGCCACAATATTAGGCTCAACAAAGAACTATTCGAGTAGTCAACTTTTTCTTATTTTCCAATGGCCATCCTTGTTTACTTGATCAAATATATTTTGGAACATCTTTCTGCCCCAAACCTTCGGAATCGTCTCGCTTTCCTTAGTCATCACCCAGCACTCCCTTCCATATGTCACCGCCGGTCTTATTATAGTGTTGTATATGGTGATTTTTGCCGATCAAGACAATACTTGGAATTTAAGCTGTTTATTGAGCCAATAAGGCACCTACTACCGGCTTTGCTCTGCTATTCTGGCTTTGATCTCTACACTTATATATTTTTTTTTTTTCTGTTACTAGAGATCCTAGATATTTGAAGTTCATGCAGCGCTAGAATTTGTTCCGATTAAATAGTAAATTATTTACAATGGTATATGAAATCAATACTTTAACGTGATAACTTATTAACCTGTATAAAGTATTTCTCAAAGATTTATGCCATATCTTCATTAATTATTCATCAAAATAGCAAAGAAATAGCCTATTATAATTTGTACACTTCTTTTGATTTATTATTTTGAATGAACAATTTAAGGATCACACATACAGAACGTGATATGTCCTAAGGATACGATATCAGTTTGTTTCTATGCTGCGGATTGAAGGTCTATAAAATTACCGTAGTTTTATAGACCTTGCTGTGGATTAATACGCTCTGTGTGATTGCCATAATGCAATATACAGTAATACAACTATATCGCCATGTCACAGACGAAAGGAATGTCTTATCGCCGAGACTTGTCGCATTTAGTGTGTAGAAGCCTTCAATTGTATCAAGTATATTAATGTTTACTAGTGTTCGCCCATTGGTCGAAATTTCACCATAGCCAATAAAAATTTGAGGAAAAGATGTAATTAATTTAAAAAATAAAGTAAATAAATAAAGAGTAAATCACGATTCAAAAATCCTCATTTTTAATACAAACAAAATTTCAATTTCAATTAAAATCGAGCTAAAGTCATTTAAAATTATTAATAATTAATACAAAATATACTCATTAAAAAGTATTTAATTTTTATTTTAATTTATGTGTGTTATAATCACAATAAATTAATGTTAAGATTAAGCAAGTAATAAATAAATTTAAATTCACTGTAAATCCATTTTTTTTTCAGAACTTCTATGTAAATAATGTTCTTTTTGAATATTCTGTTATTGTTTAGTGCGTAGCCATGGCCATTGCCATTGAAAGTATAAATTTCAATAGTTTAAATGAACGTGCTCTAATTGCTGCCACATATAATTGTCCATGCGAAATTACTGGACGTAACAATAATATACACATTTTTCCAAAACTTTTATCCTGCGATTTGATTATGGTCATAGGAAATGCAGCTATTAATAGGAACGTGGTTCTTTGAAAGTCGAATGTAAGTATAGTGTCAGAAAATGTTAAATTAATTCTTGGAATTAAAATTCTTTAATTTAAAGTAGTCCCCATTAATACTTCAGTCTCATTCCTGTTCCATTAACTAATGCATGTGCAGTATTTAAGTTAACAATGACTATAACTATAGAATATATTTTTTAATTTAATTTATTCTGTATCATTTAGCTAACATTACATGATATCATCTCTACAAATAATAGACCCAATTACCTCAGAAAATGAAAAGTTTTCGATTAATCAAAAAACAAAATAAAAGAAATCGAATTTGGAAGGAAAAGTAAACGTACTAAATGTTAATTCTTGGAATTAAAATTCTTTTATTTAAAATAGTTCCCGTCAGTATTTCACTCTCATTCGTGTTCCATTAACTACTGTTTGTACAGTATCTAAGTTAAGAATGAGTATAACTATAGAATTTATTTTAAAATTTAATTTATGAGGTGAACATTCCATGATATCTATTCAAATAATAGTCCCGATCACTTCATTAAATTTAAAGTTTTCGATTTATCGAAAGCCAAAATAGAAGAAATCGACTTTGCAAAAGAAAAGGTACTAAATGTTTGAAATGATATGTCTCTGCAACAAATAGTGCGATTTCGATGATTTTTTATTTTATTTTGTAGGGGATTCAGGAAGCTTTCAAATATTGGTATTATCGGTAAAAAAAATGTATACTTTTTGAATTATTCGCAAATAAAATACTGAATTCATTATGAAAATGTATGCAGCTTGTTTTCGGGAAAGTATGTTACATACATAAATTATAAAGGTTTCAAGGGGAAGACTTTAGTCAAGTTTCATTGAAATCGTTGAAGCCATATTGGCGCTACATTCTAAAGCGAATCACGTTTTTCGGCCGCCATTTAGAAAGCAAAGGTCCGATGTTAATGAAACGTATACAAAAAAAAATTCTAAATATTATTGCGACGTTGTGTCAAAATTTAAAAGAAATCGTTGAAGAACTTTTGGAGATAAGCCGTTTTGAACAAACTACCATTTATATTTTTATTCACATACTATTTAATATTTTTATTTATTGATAACACTAAAGCTCGTCAATATCTATTAAACAAAAAAAGAATGAAGAAAATCGGTTGACTAATAGAGGAGTAAAAGGGGCTGAACCGATTTGTGTTTGACTATTTATATAATGATACTTATTGTTGTATTATATTTTCATTTGTGCTCTGGTTGATATAGGCCAATTAGTAAGCTAATAATTGGGGCGGGCCAACGGGTTAATTGTTATTAAAGAAAAAGGAGAGAGAAAAAATAATTTATAAATTTATTTATTCTCAAACAATTGAAATATAACATAACACTTGTAATTCGACCTACGTGTTTTTTCTCCACGCAGTGAGCTAATAACTCGCTAAACCAAATTATACCACAAAACACACCAAGCAAAAAAGGAGGATTGTCCAAACGGAATAAAATTAGGAACCGTCAAATGACTTACATCAGAGGCACGGGCGGATTTACGCGGGGGAGAGGGGGCTTTCGGGCTGAAGCCCTCCCCCCCCCAAAATGGTAAAATATAACTATGTTTTATGGAAAAATATATTAAAAAATGATCTCTTAAAGTATTATTGTTCGGGTAATTACATTTAAAAGGACTTAAGGGATCACTTAAACACCATTTCATATAGATAGCTAGTTTCTTTCTTTTTTTCCAAAGTAAATATCGTCATTTTTATGAAAAAAAAAAGCTTTCGGGCTGAAGCCTCTCCCCCAAAATTAAATCCTGGATCCGCTAGTGATCAGAGGTGTCCAGGGAGTTTGATGGCGCAACACCAACATTTTAAAGGGAGGCATACTTTGGCGGGTTTTTTTATTTTTGAGGGGGCACATTATCGTTGGTTATGGATTTTTGGAATAAAAGATTTCATACTAAGGGACGAGGGCACTAGCGGATCCAGGATTTAATTTTGGGGGAGGGCTTCAGCCTGAAACCTTTTTTTTCATAAAAATAACGATAATTACTTTGGAAAAACAGAAAGAAACTAACTACCTATATGAAATGGTGTTTAAGTAGTTCCTTAAGTCCTTTTAAATGTGCTTAAACGAATAATAATACTTTAAAAGGTATTTTTAAAAAAAAAATTCCCAGAAAACATAGTTACATTTTACCATTTTGGGGGGGGCTTCAGCCCGAAAGCCCCCCCCCCTCCGTAGATTCGCTCGTGGACGAGGGGAAACATGGAACAGACCGCAGCAAGTGTAATTATATAAGTGGGCGGGGTAGCCGAATGGGCTAAAGTGTGTGCACTG